AAGATGCTGGGGGGGGGGGAAATCAAAAAAACCCCCAACAATCTTTTAAGTAACAGCAGCACATGCAAAAGATATGCATTATCTATATACCAAGCAAGCAACTAAGTTGCATGCTTGTGATTTTTAAGTATTCAAAGAAAATTATTATGAGAGTTAAATTCAAACCACTATATCATCACAAAATTATACCACAGTAACTCAAATGTCACTCCATTGCATTATTTCCTGCCCTTTGCTTGTATATTCCTTTAAGCTAGTACTTGTTATGTTAAATAAACTCCTATATTCTTCCAAAAGACAGTATTTGTTTCAAAATACAGGACACTGCTATCGTGATTTCCTCAATGCACTTGTGGAATTTAAAAGATTAAAACTGTAGTGCCTCACAACAGAGTCAATGTGGTAAACTCAAACACAGACCAGATGTATTACAGGAACACATGAGGATAAAGGAATTCCTGGTTTGAATCCAGCACAGTACAGTGCCTTAGCTGTAAGCTGATCACACTTGCAAAACAGCGTCATCAAGACACAGAAGCCAAAACAACTCTGACAACAGAAAAGAAGGACATTTGGATAAGCGTGAATTTTTAAGTTACATATTCAGTAGGGATGGAGCATTACAAACCAAAATACAGGCATAAAGAAAAGTAGTAACCTATCTGCACACCCCAACTGGGACTGTACAGCAGTACCCCATCACAGAACAAGGCAATGCCTCTGACTTTCATTTGTGCAACATCATCTAGAGCACTGTGTTCACTACCATTTGCCTATTTAACTCAAATGCATTAAATACACAGGTGACAACAATGCCACATGGTAAACTCTAAAACCATCTGTCGTAAAGGCATTTGTCATTGTATGTATGACATGTATCATTCCATCACCTGCATTTTGCCAGCTAACCTCTCCAGTGGAGACTGCTAACAGTCCACATTTTGGAGCAGTTTCAGACAGCCACTGCTAAAGATTTTTTTTTTTTTTTTAAAAATACATTTGTTACAAGAAATTCTTTACTGCATCCCCCCTTGCTGGCACAAAAATTTCCTCTGCAGTTGTGTGACTGGCAAGTGTCTGTAATAGCGATCCCTGATCTAGCACAAATCACTAGTGGTAAAGACTTTTTTTACCACTAGAGGACTGGCAGTCCTCCTTCCCTGAGATACAGCTCTTGTTGCGGTTCTTAGTGTAGTGGGATACAATGAACTTTAAGAGAGGGTCCTAATCATGAGATAAACTGACTGTACGCCAAACATCTGTTGAAATGCAAATAGGACTTACTGCATGTGATGTGCTTGAAGACAACACTGAGGCAGGGGAGAGGCTGCTCTGATGATTGGAAAGAGAGCTAGAAAGAAATTGCAAAGAATTAATAAAATTTATTTTTCCTAGAACTATTTTTAATATATATATATATGTATGTATGTGTGTATATATATACACACACACAAACACAGAGTAGGTAGTAGGATATTAGTTAAAGAATAAGAATTGTAACTGTGTGCATACACATACACACTCAGAGTAGGATACTAGTTAAAGAAAAAATGTCTGTAGGGGTGTGTGTATATATACACACATACACACACACACATATATATGTGTGTATATATACACACACCCCTACAGACATTTTTTCTTTAACTAATATACCTTTTAATGAAAAAAATTGAAGTACAGAGACAACTATTACTAACAAGAAACATCTAAAACACCACTCATTGGTATTTATCAAATTACTATATTTTTAGAAAAACAGCAGTTGTTCCAGAATTATGTAGCAATGACCCCAAGAGACATAACGTCCAAAACCAGAAGAACGTTCACACAACACATGGCTTGTTTCTTATTCTTTCCCTGAGCAACTGCTGCTGCCTGCCTGCCGACACAGGTATTAATTAGGTGACGCAGTGCTTTGGTTTGACTCACTATGGTATTTCTCACATTTTAACCTGCATAACATTAGTTCACCCAATTAGAACTGCAGGGTATTTGCCCCATAACTCTGCCAAAAGACCCAACACATTCTCAAAAGACAGGGCTCAAAAAAAACAGCAAATGAAAAACACCTGTGAAAGCCCAAAAATTAGCCATACTACTACTGAATCTGGCAATTTAATCAAGGCTGGTTCATACCACTACACCCCACCAAAAGCCATTTCCTCTTTGAAAAGATGAATCAGAACTACCAGTTCAGTTTTATACATACACTGTAAAATACGAAAATAAAGAATCCCCTGCTGAAAAACATCTGCAGATAACTTCATTTCAGGAAACAACTCTGGTTTAGCACACCACCTTTTTTCCCTAGCTGACCAGGCCTGTGAACTTTTGGCAGTAACAGTAGCACCAACATTCATCTGTAATCCGAAGATCTTTAAATGTCTCCCTGAAAGGTGACTGAAACTGGTTCTTAAGCATTTACACTGACAGAAGTTATATCTTACATTCGAGGTCAAGAACGTAACTTACAGTACAGTACGGAATAAACAGAATGAACACCGAACAAAGGCAAACAAAACAAAGCCATAAAAAATATGTATGGTTTGGTGCTCAAAAAGAGCATCCTCATGTGAAATCAGAAGCAAGAGAGATCCTAACCTAACAAATATTTTAGTATTCTCTATGGAAATAGCCACAAGAAAATACAGCAGTTTTCATAACAAAGCTGCAGGCTAAATTATATGCCCTAACTTAAAGGGCAAACACTCCTGGCAGCTCTTCGAGGTATGGGACCAGACTAAATCTTGGCAGTTTCATAGATTAATTTTACTTCGATTCTTTAAAACTGTTCCCCATCTGCAGGAATTACAATGACACCACTTCAGGCAGCAAGGAAAGAAATAGTTCAGTCCAACATACAGTTTTAAACCACTCCCTTGCCCACTCTCCCCAGGTCTTCTAATAAGCCTTAATTCACCATCTGACCTATGGGAGAGACACAGACAAGAGCTGCCAGCACAACCAAGTCAGACATGCTTGGAACTCAAGCAGCATCTTTTCATGGCACTTGGTATCTGCCCAACAGCATCAACACTCCAACTAAAATTTCTACCAATGTACACAGTTTTTCAACAAACAAATGTGGGGAGATGATGTTTCTAATGTGAATGGAATAATTCTTGCTATTTGACCTATTTACCATTTTATTGTACAAAAACCACTAGTGTATTAAATGAGAATCAACCATGTCCTAGCTGCGAAACAGGAAGAAAAACCCTGCTATCCCACCAAATTAGTTTCTTCAATTAACAAATATAGTACAAAGGTGAGTATTAAAAATATAACTCAACCAGCATATCCTCAGGATGTCACCTGCCTGAGGATGAAGCTCAAGTAACATGCACTGAGAAAATCAGATAGACAGTGCAAATAAGCTAAGCTGTGCTGAATGCACTTCCAGGAACACCAATCTGGTATTTCAAAGTGTCTTAAGGAAATGTCTTAGAAAAAGAAAAAACACACACTCTCCCTATGGAATTATTTCTATTATTTCTATATTTTCCTATGTGGAATTATTAAGAAATACAAATATAAATGAAGCAACAAAATTAGCCAGGAAGTAAACTGTTAAGGAATGATTTCAAACATAAACAGCAGGCACTGTGGACAAAGTAGGAAAAACAAACTGGGGGAATCAATTTAGCTAATTTAGCTGGCATGATTGAAGCAAGAGCCCCTTGAAACACAAAGTTGTTTATATATCACGAAAACTTGAGGGCGGCAGCTGTTCTATCATTAAGAGGCAGCCCAGAGCTCATACTTTGTAACCAGAAACATCCTGTTCTTTTCTGAATCTCTCTCCTAATTCTAGTTAATGTCAGAAAAAGGGGACCCTGGTGTCTGACAGCCCCCGTACGCAATCATCCTTATATTTGCTCTTTCCCCAAAACTGAACCCCTTTCAGTTTATCACAACTCCTACTGTACCTGCTTAACTGGGAAAGTGAGCTGCTGGCCAAATCACTGGACTGAGGCAAGCTGGGCAACGTTGCCGCGTGCTGCGGAGGTGAAGGCAGAAGCGAAGCAGTGGTGGATACCACGCTAGGCAGAGAACCAGCAGAAGGTAGTGAGGGAGAAGGCTCTGTCTTAGGCGCTGGAACTGATGAAGTAGCTGCAACATGTTAAAAAGAGGCATTCAAAGACAAATTCCAGCATACCTGACATCCCAGCCTGGATTCAGGAACACAGTAGTATTCTCCACTTGGTTTACAAAAGCCTGACCATTAAGAATCAGTAACAGTATCAAGCAATCTGGCTATTAAGGAAAATTCAAACAGCAACAGAACTATCATTTTTTCCCTTTAAGCTCTTCACCTACAATAGATTTATAATTTTCACTGCTACACATGTAGTGAGCTACGATCTTCTGCACTTCACCTCCCGCTATCTGGATTACTAGCTTCTGCTCACAAGTCAATCCTAATTTTAAAATTCCTTGCATTTGGTTCCGCAAACAAAAGTCCTTTGAGCTTTTCAAGGCACTGTATAAATCTATTTTTACCTACAGCTCTGCTTCTTCATTCCAACCTACACAGCACCTTTGATGACTGAGACTGAGATCGCTTGAGTGCAAGGGCATGTACAACTTATCAGTTTGGAGTACTCAGTCAAATGTGTAATGCAGTAGAATAAAAGAAGCTACAAAAAAAGACCACAACTGAGCACAGCATTGAGCATTTTTAATGGTTAAAGAGTTGTTAAATATTGACTTACTTTATTTGACCTAGATAACAAAAAGCGTTTAGCTTTAATATTACTTTTTAGGCTACACAGAGTAAAACTTGTTTACCAAAGATGTGCCTTTCCAAAGGATCACTATACTGTAATAAGACACTGAACAACTCTACTGCCCAACATAATTCCCAACTGTTTCTACACTTATCTCGTCCTGCAAAGATAATATAAAGAATTAGAGGCACTCACTCACCAATAAAACTCAGAAAGAGAGTTGAGCCCTGCCTTCTCTGGGCCATGCTTCCATACCACACCAGAGACCACTACTCAATAGATCATCACTAACTCGTAACTCGCATACAACGCGAGGACAGTTTTAGAATGGTCACCAAACAAAAGTCAGATATACGCTTGGAAGTTATGCATCATAGTTTGTTCACGTTATTGGTTTGGTTTCCTCACTAAATGACCCAAGTCAGGTTGCTGGATTGGGTGCTATGCAAACAGAAATCAAGAGGTCTTAGCCTTGGCAATAAGTATGAGGGTAACTGACAACAGAGAAGGAAATTCAAGTGACAAACGGAAACATAGTTATGAAGGCGGCAACTATATCACCTGATACCTCCTGGCAAGATTCATATAAAAATAAGTAAATAGTATTTACAACTCTCAATACATTTAGAGCAGGGTTCCTTTCTTGAAGTAAGGGAATTGAGGGATTCTGTCCCGCAATACAAGCGACAGAATAACAATCTTCATTAAGGCCTGAACACAATGTTCAAGGCAAAGAAATCCAGGAGACAAGTAGGATGGTCAGAATTATGACACGTCAGTCATGCTTTGAACTAAGGTTTTAGGAAGCATGAGATCTGGATATTAAAGGACAACAACAGCAAAGATGAGAGATGAACAACTAAGAATATTATCAGCACATACAGAAGGGAAAAGGTCAGTATTTTCAAAAGTTAAGAGCGAATTTCAAAATCGTTTGGACGCATGAGATAGATACAAAGACGACGACTGATTCCAGTTTAGGTGCTTGAGATACAGAAAGCAACAAAAGTGTTCTCAAAACAGAATTGGCATAGAAAAAGGGACTAATAAAAGCCATTATAGAATAATTACAAAAATACTAGGAATTCTCAGATCTTTGTTTTCCATAGCAAAAAAGACAAGTCCTGTAGTGAATTTCATAAATAGTTTATTAATCCTGTACACGAGAGTAAGAAAGTTTTCCACTTGAAAAGTTGTCTTTATATATAATAATCTTTTAAGTGGTAACTCTTTGGGCATATACACTCCTCCTGCTCATTTAAACTGAACTTGGCATTAACAAAACACTGTTTACAGGTCTGAATACTCAACTTCTTTCTACTCAGAAGTATTTAAAAAAAAAAAGGCTGCCCCACTAACGACCTACCTGAAGAGACGTTTAGGAGGAGGATAGACCTAAAATTGAAGTGTTGGAATTCCAAAAGATATTAATTCACACTGCAGCCCGTGAAAACTTCCACAGAGCAGCACATAAAGGTCAGAAGAGTAAATACTACACTTTAATTATTTTAACTCCAGGAAGACAGCTGTAGGGGTGCTACAAGTAAAATACCACATTAGAAACAGTCCAAGATGAAGATAACAGTAATGCCTGTATCAGAGCCAGTACTGTGTTATTGTTACTCCACTGAAAGGCAGCAAGGTACCCAGCAGAGGGAGCATATTAGTCACCCTTCTTCCCCATGGGCTTGTAGCAGGGCTTAAGTAGCACCATACCCAGTGAGAGGTGCATTCAAAGAACATGACTTTGTTTCATTACAGCAAAATGCTACTCGTAGCTTCCCAACTGAGAATTGGAAGAATTGCTAAGAAATTTTATATTAATTTTTAATTTTCTACTAAATAATTTTTGGCAGGTAAATTCAAAAGGAAAAACAGCAGCAAAGCAGCTTCTCTAATTCTAAGACTGCTTACGTTTGTAGATTTAATAGGGCTGCTTTCATACTTCAGTTTTAGTCAAGAAGCAAGCAGTGTATCCTATGCAAGTACAAAATAAACGCAAATGGGTCAGCCAAAAATTAGTCAGGGAGAACAATATAAAACCTTAAACCAGATGTCACTGCTACAGTTGTGCGTGCAGCAAGTAGTAAGGAAAAATTAGAAAGTCCTGTGCACAACCAAGCTTTGTAAACTTACTGTCAAGAGTTGCCTGTGTTCTAACACCACTGTGGCCGTTCTGTAAACAAAGAAGAAATGAATGAATAAATCATCTTAGAGGTATATTAAATTTTCAGACTGAATCACACATTGAACATGCTTCATGCAAAGTTCTATATTCATTCTAAATTGAAAGACAAAAAAGGCAGAAAATTAACTTTTTACTGCCTTTAACAAAACCACGTAATAGTTGTCTCAAGTGCAAAGTGTCCTGAACATACAGAATCCCATACACTGCCCATACTACACCCATCAGCGGAAGACCTTCCCATGTACTGTATATAACATAAACTTCAGGTTCACACCGATATGAAAGAAAGAATTGCATTAACATATAGGAAATGGTTGTGCTTTTGATCTAATGCAACTCACAATTTTAACTATCCAAGTTACACAGAGACGCCAATTTTTTTCCATTGAAAGATAAGACTTGAGAAGCACCAGTTGTTTTTTGGATAACGCTGGAGTACAGAAGTGGATAGTCTATGCTTGATCCTCACCAGTACATACGAGCTAGTGCAGAAGACAAGTGTGACTGAGCCATTACATAACAAAGGCCAGAAGTAAATAAACTTACAAACTCTCACAAGTTCCTTAAACATTTAATAAGCTAAGTTCTCTTAAAACAAACCTACATTCCATATACAAAGAGAATAGGTGCTTTTGAATCTCCCAAGAGAGATCCTCTCTGTTCTAAATTAGACCTCTCCCTATGATTTTTAAAATAAAACATGAAACTAATTCCCACTGATGTTTAAATCCAACAGAAGAGTAATGCTGGAGGGGCCACAAACAGTTTGGGATCCATTTGCTAGGTGCCATATAAATTTAATAAACAATACACCGTTGGATAGAAACTGTCAAGTTACGGCAAAATACCATGACTAATATTTAGATAGAGAGATAGTTCCTTTTTTAAAAGCTAAGCTTCAGGGAAGGAAACTCAAGTAGAATGTTAAGTGTTACTAAGAAAAAAGGTCAAATAGCAATTTAAGATGTCAAAACCCATAAAATCGGAGGCTCTTATACCCCAAATACAACATGGCCAAAAATGGCTACACAACAGGAAAAGCAAAAACAAGTAACAGGGTGGGCTTGGGAATCAAAAATACCACTTGGCTTGGTTAAAAGTATTAACATAGCAGGGTAATACAAGTGTAACACAGATGAGAATATTTCACCTTTTTCAAGGTCTTATTTCTGAAATTCACTCACCGTAACTGCAACAGGGGTTGATTCAGCTGGAGCCATGGAGCTTTGGTACGCTATCCTACTATGCACAGAAGTCTGGTCATAGGAGGAAGTTGTTACTGGGCTAGTGCTCTGGGATGAGCAGGTCAGACTGGAAGAGGTGATGGCAGAGGTTGTGTAGGTGGACTCCTGTACTGTATTGGATATTGGCAAAGAGGTATTCAAAGGATCACTGGAAAAAGTAAAAATTATCATCTTGGTAAACGACATCTCAAACACCTTCATGAAAATATCAGCTCCTATACAGTTATCTAGAACTACCTTAAACATGCAGTCAAATCAACATTATTTATACTAGAAAATCTAGTCATGAAAAAAAAAATATATAATTTTGCTTTGGTCCCCGGTAATCATTGCTTCAAAACCATTAGCTGCACTAAGCACCATTCACCTTCCTCCTGCTAGCCCAACAAAAACAACAGTCTACACACAAGCACTTTTCAGTCATGTTACTTCCACCTTCTCAAACGATACATTAATGATCATAATCTCTCTTTTTTAAACAACTAGATCCACAAAATCTGGTATATAATGAGAAACACCCAGTCTCTTTTTACAATAGAATTCTAACGTTACAGTAGCAGTCTAACAGAATGAACTATGCAAAGAGGAAAATACTTTAAAACATGCAGGAGTGCTTTACTTTCTAAACAGTTTAAATCATTTATAGAACTAGAAATGAACGTGAATGTTCATTTGTACTAGTATTTCTGAATTAACTTCAGGAAGCTTTTTACTGAAGCCAATTTTTTAATGAATAAGGAAGAAAAAAATGGGTTACTGGTGCGTTGGCATTTATTATCGGCTATTTTAGCATTTCAGTAAGAGCTTCTGCATACTGAAAGCCTGGCTTCTTTTCTCATCCCATAGGAGCATCAGATCTGTAATCTGGTGCCAATCTACTAAGACACATACATGGTACAAGGGTCATCTCTCCTGGATCAAAAACAGAAAAATTAGGGTTGTGAGAAACAAACCCTCAAACAAATTTCAAAATCAGGACAATTAAACATGAGAAAGCAATTCTATAAAGGATAGCTTATTATGAGGTTATTCACATTCATGTCATCTCCAGCTTCACATCAACCCATCCAGGAAGATTTTGATTGTCATTAAAAAAACCAATTTCTCCTTTAAGATGCCATCCAGAGAAAACAAGTCATCATATTTCCTCCTCCCATTACATGGTGCCTTGATGGTTTTGGCACAAACTTGACCCCCCTAAAGGAGACATGTAAGAATGCACAAGGGGAACTCACACGTACTTTACAGATTTTGAGTACAAGCTATTGTTGGTCGCCTGGCTGGTATTCTCACTGCTTGAAGTTGATCCAAACTCTGGGAGTGCAGGCTCTGATCCAAACTCCAGAGCTCCAAACTGAACATTTAACCCTGTCACATCTGCTGATCCAGGCATCTCCACTGCAGAGGCAGGAATCTTAAAGGAGGAAAAAAAAAAAAAGCCATAATTCCTTTGCATGCCCTATCTGTATTAAAGATACCAGTAACTGACACCCTCTCCTCCCTTAACCACAGGCTTCTTCAGTTACTGCCTCAGGCTTCACTGCTAACTAGATCTGCTACAATCCACCAGTTTACATCACATAAACTAACTACATTCTTGTAACCTTAAATTAATTCATTGATTCTGTGCCCTGATCTGGAGCTGAAAGAGTAAGCCATACTATTCTACAACATCAAAGTGTCATCCGTATCCATCCCCCTTCAGCCAACACTCATCTTGTGGCTACTAAGTCAATCCAAAAATCACTCAGCAACAGTCATTTTCCACACAGAGCAATCAGATATGTGCTTGGAAAAGACATCATCACTGTATTTTGGACCTAAAAACTAGCCAGCTTAGAACTTCTTGCTTTATTAACATGAAATATACCATGGTCTTTGCCCTCCTTATCCCTAGCAACTTATATATAGAATAGAATCACAGAATCATTTAGGTTGGAAAAGACCTTTAAGATCATCGAGTCCAACCGTTAACCTAACACTACCAAGTCCACCACTAAACCATGTCCCTAAGCACCACCTCTACACGTCTTTTAAATACCTCCAGGGATGGTGACTCAACCACTTCCCTGGGCAGCCTGTTCCAAGGCTTGACAACCCTTTCGGTGAAGAAATTTTTTCCTAATATCCAATCTAAGCCTCCCTTGGCGCAACTTGAGGCCGTTCCCTCTTGTTCTATCACTTGCTACTTGGGAGAAGAGACTGACACCCACCTCCCTACAACCTCCTTTCAGGTAGTTGTAGAGCGCGATGAGGTCTCCCCTCAGCCTCCTCTTCTCCAGGCTAAACAGCCCCAGTTCCCTCAGCCACTCCGCATAAGACTTGCTCTCCAGACCCTTCACCAGCTTCGTTGCCCTTCTCTGGACACGCTCCAGCACCTCAATGTCCTTCTTGTAGTGACGGGCCCAAAACTGAACACAGGATTCGAGGTGCGGCCTCACCAGGGCCGAGTACAGGGGCACCATCACTTCCCTGCTCCTGCTGGCCACACTATTTCTGATACAAGCTTTTGTATGTTTTTACATTTGCTAAGGACAAGCCACCACTTAGTTACCCACCTTGGATGCTGGAGTTATCCTCCGTTTTGGTGGTTTTATCTGTTTCTGCTGGGTTTGATGGGCAGTCACTGCCTGGTTATCCATAGATATAGTAGGGAGTTGTAACATTTTGCTAACAGCTGTAGAGGTGTCTACTGGCGATGGCTCTCGGAGTTTTACCTGGGAGGAGAAGGACTCCAGCCCAGGAGGAGGAACAGGAACTGCCTGCGTTTGTTGTTGCTGTCGCTGGGTCAGCTGGCTCAGAACTGGGGATGGTTCAGGCTGGGATTTAAAGTCTGGTCACCATTGGGAAAAGGAAATATCAAAATTAAAGCATTAAACTCTGCTCTTCACACTTCTATTCTTTGACAGAATCTGAGTGACGACATACTCGACAGCTGTGATTTCATAGCGTGTGCAAGTCTCTTTCAGACATCACAAGAGTTTCACATTGAACATTACCACTGCAATAATAAGGCCAACATTTTATATTCTCTACTTTAAATAAACAGCTGTGGGCAAGCATTATTTAGCTTTCTTCAAAAATATGAAAACAAACCTACCTATACAGTCACATAATATTACCACACCTTAGTCCTCGAAAAATGTTACGGATTATTTTAATCAAACACTGCAAGTTTCACTGCAATTAACTGTGCTGATAAAATGTGGTTACTTCCAAGGGGTCGGGAGTTAATATTTAGAGGTATTATGAGTTAGGATTTCCTGCCCCTACAAAGGAGATGATTTTCAACAAATAGGAAGTCATCTACCATCTCAATCTGGCTGAAAGTCAAGAGATACTGGACACTGACAGCTTTTTTCCAAGTCTTCCTCTTTCATATTTTTCAGATGCTGAAAGCCATGCAGTGGCTCAAGAGCACTGGTCAACAACCGTAAGAGATCCACAGCATTTGCAATGTGAAGGGGTTTTTTTTATTCAGTTGGTAAAGTGCATTAGAAAGCAACTTAAAATGTACGTAAACATTTTTTCAGAATTGCTGTGTGTAAAAGATTGTAACTGTTACCAAACTGGTTGCTTATCTGTCTGGAAACATACACACACACAAGAGATAGATACAAGAGCTATCACTCTTCACAGTGAGAATACTGCTAGGAACCACATTGCAAAAAGAAAGTTTGTGTCATTTTCACTGTTTCTACGAATTTTACTCAATTAAATGAAAAATCCCTACAATTATGAATAGACAAAATGGGTAACTTGCATCATTCTCAGCACACTAGTGAAAGAACACTAGGATGTGATGCACATTATGAAGAAATTATACCATACTCATTCAAAATTCATGTAATGGTTAGAAGAGAAAATTCGGTGGGAAAAAAAGACAAAATATGATACAACCTTATACTCAGCTAGAAGCAGCATCGGGACAATTAAACTAAGTATTTTCCAGGATTTGTTGAGAAATAAAGTCACATCAAAGTTCCACCTTAAAAATTCAAGCATGTTAAATCAAACATGTCACTACATGAAGGCTCAACAACTTCTAAAGATGCAATGACATTTATGGATAGGTTTAAGCCTATCAAAACTTAGTTTGTGATATACTTGTAATTTACGTCTATTACCAGCAAGTAAGTGTAACTCTTACAATGTTGTAACCAATTGTATTATTAGGATTACATTTTTTAGAAAAAGTCTTTCATTAAGGCCATTTTAAACTGTTATTGGCATTAAGAAATCTTACAGGCTAATACAGAGAGAAAGAGAGAGAAAGCTATGTCAAAGCACCTACCAAACTGACTAAGGACTGAGGGCTGAGTAATGGGCGGCTTTAGATCCCAGGATGATGTGGTAGTTGTGGTAGTGGTGGTAGAGCTACTGTTGTTTTGCTGAGAGGTAAACTGACCCAGTCCTGGAGATTTCAACTGATCCAAGATTTGGGATCCAGTAGAGTTTGCCAATTTAGAGGATCCGAGTTCTCCAAAGCCAGAACAAAGAACTGCAGACTACCAAAAGACAAGAAAGAAGAGCAGAAGGAGTGGAGTTAAGTATTTAATACATAATTTGAACATAACCATAGGGTCAATGCCTACAGCTGCTATTTGGCAGGAACTAACACCTCTTCAGCCCCAGACTACTAACAAATGACCAATAAAAAATTCAGCAGTTGTAACATATCTGATCACCGATACAACTTCCACCACTGTGATTGCAACAATACTGATTTACTTGAATCCATGCATCTCAAAATAGCATGTATTTACTAATAGTTGAACTTATTTTCAGAGAATAAATATAAGTGCCCAATTTCAAGCCCTCACAATTGACTCAAATAAGCAGGTTTCCACAAAAAGCAGTCAGATATGTGCTTGGAAATAACACATCATAGTTTTCTGGCATAGAACTCTTCACTATAAACAAATTATTTCATCCTAAATCAGCATGCAGTAAACGCATCTGCTCTCTACTCAAAAATTGTAATACAAGTACTTGGTGTAAACTGAGAAACAACTGCTTAGCAAAACCAGAAAAAAGTAATCTTTTTGTGTGTGTGTGTTGCAAAATTCATTTGCAACCTGAATTTTACAAATACTGAAACATCTTATGAAATGACCACTACTGGAAAAGTTATTTAACCTGAAATATTTACTCCTGAAGAATATTTAGAAAGCATAAGGTAATTTTACCAGACTTTGAGGAGAATAAGAGTTTACAGCACTGGAGCTGCCAGTTCCTGGTGCCATTTGGGTGCTGTGCTGAGAATTTGTGAAGACTAGGGCTTGGCCGAAGGTCTGCTGCTGGGGAGCCTCAAATGAGTTGCCTTCTGTCTCTTGGGTAGATGTCACAGGCTTTTGAAGCAGTGTTACCAAATCAATGCTGTAAGGAAAATCAAAGTTTGGCTGGAATAAACATGATGATTAGGCTGCACTGAAACTGAAGAAAGCACTAACTATACTAAAGCTGCCATACCTGCAACAGAATTACTACTGATGAACAGTCTTTTAAAATATTGCCTGTCTGTCTGCCATACAAAAAGAGGTAGAATAGAGGTTTTTGCCAGAAAGTAATATTCTGCTAGCTGAAACCTTCCACTACAGTTGGAATACAAATTATCTTTGCACTCTTTTCAAACTTTACCAAATTTATAACATCGTGTATCACCTAAATAACCTATATGATTAATATAACCAAGTAACCGGAGACAAGTCATAAAAGAAACATTATGTTTAAGTGGATTCTGCCTGCAAGCCCATTATATATACTGATAATCCACATTCTCTGTATATCACGCTATCCCTTTAAAAAGAGCAAGGGATCAAAGTCCTACCTCTGTATAGGGTGGGTATGAGGACAGTAAAAAATAAAGTCACACATGCAGCAGTTGAGTGAATATGTGATGACATGGAAGTCATTTTTTTAAGCTAAGTTTCTCAGATAGTAGGCATATATGCAAAATTCCTCTACCACACATACCTGAGCAGGATGAGAAACATGAATTTTCTTATATTTAGCATGGCTTACTAACCCCTACCACATGTTTAGAACAGGTTTATCCAAGGAAAAGCAAAGCATTCAGACAATAAAAGAAAACTACTCCAAAAACCCTGACTTAAGTTTATCCTGAATATACTGCAGGCTTGGGCTGAAGAGCTGCTTCCAGCACTTTCATTAGCACAGATTTCTTATTGCCCAAACCCTTCTTATGGCAAGTGGAGGAAAAAGAAAAAAAACGAAAACAAAATACCAAAACACCAGAATTCGAGTTGATGAACTAAAATATTTTCTGACATAATTTGAGGGACATCCACTGGAAGAATATTTGCATTAGAACAACGAACATGCGAGCATATCACCTTTAAGAAGGAAAGGAATATAAACTGTAGACCAACTGATACCATGCCTCTTCCACATCACATCCATGTTATAAGGAAAATGTTGCTGGAGTCTGGAGTACAGCAGTACAGCTGTATTAGGATGTTTGGGACCATTAGGCCGTCTAGTTTTCAGATCTCACACTATCCAACTACCGAAGTCTTCATCACACAACTTTAGCCCGCTCTCCTGGGACCTGAGGCTAATGCAGGCAACTAATTCCATAACACCATTGGCCAGGCATTTGGTGAAGACAAAGGCAAGCAAAGGAAGGCAGCAACTGCCATATTTTTGGTTCTCTATCTGAGCTCTGTATCATCAGTTAAGGCAAGTAATTGTGATGCTTACCAGGAAATCCACCTTCTTGCCAACGCAAGCTCTTCTGTTAACACATCTGTCAAAGCACTACGTTATGAACACTTTCTGCACCTACAGGGGCAGGCTTTCCATTTTCTGGACAGCAAAGCCAAAGTTTCCTTTTCAACAGCAGAAAACTTTTCTTCCCAGTTACTTTTGTTCCTGCCTGCACAGTCTTTGTGCAGAAGACAGGGTCTTCTCAGTATTATGCCTGTGGATTTGGTAAGTTTGGCTCCACGTCCATAGTCAATAATGGGTAACACAGGAACCCACAAAACCAACGATTTGCAAGCAAGGCTTTTGCAATTTTGAAATTAGCTTGACCAATCTCTGCCCTGTGTTTTATTCAATATTTATATGTGCAAACTAATATTGCTTCACCAAGCAGAAGATTTTTAAGGTATAGGGAAAACATGGAAGAAGAGCTTACCTTTGCCCAGGAGTCACATGATTCTCAGCTGGAACAGAGGAAGCAGTGAAGACTTTTGTTTCAGAAAGCTGCAAAAGAGAGGGGCAGGGGAAAAGGTATTTTAATCATACACATGCTCACACTTCATTGCTGCAACATCTGCAGAAATTCCATCTTGGTCGTGCACTTCCAAGATAAAAGTAAAGTCAAACTACCATTACAACTAGTTATGCTGCAGCACTGCTTAAAAAGACAAAAACACGTAGTCAAACTTCAGCAAAGTCTTCTCCACAGAATCAAGTACCAATTTAATTAAAGTGTTAGGAAATTTGATTTACTAAACACACACAATGGTATACCAATGTAACTACATCAGTTTGAGCAATAGTTTAACTGAAAAATATACCAGTAGAAAGTAATTAACGTGACAGCTGGTATATCATCAATGTAAAGATACCTTCTGCAGACATAATTTAGGACTCCATAGAGCAGCTCTGACAGATCTTGTTGCAGAAGTCTAACACTTTGCACCATTCCCACTCATTTAATCTACCCCTGTGTTTTACACTTCAGCTCGTATCACCAGCGGAGGCAGGTTTGCACTCAGATACATACAGTGAACTAGCATTCGTGGTTCCTTCTTGGCATTTCTGCTAGGGGTGGCAATAACATCTTAAACCGATTGCTCTGCGAGCATGAGTTTGAAAACAATAATAAAGGGACAACCATGTAATTGCTTATACTAGTATAACCAGTCAGACCATTCACAGCAGAGAACTGTGCTGCTTTCACCATGCTGTTACAATTAAGATAGATACTTACACAGGCAGCTGGGGAGAGGTTTTGGGGGGAAAGGGGATGATTTGGGTTGTAGGGGGGTTGTTTGTTTGCTGGTTTGTTTTTTTTTTTAAATAGCTTTTCTTTTTTAAAAAAACAGTAGTTAAACAGCTACAACTTCCTAGAGCTAATTCATTTCTATTGACACGAATACTTGCAAACCAGAATAGGTCTTAAGCCAGTACAGGTTAGGTTTAACAAGATAAAGATATGCACGTATAATGGTTATATTTTAAATTAAATTTGCACAAAATCACCCTTAACTACTTTGGTGTAGCTTTGTATTTAGACTAAAGAATAACTGACCTATTCAAACACAAAGAATCCCTTTAGAATGTGACATCTGAATACAGCTCTTCCAGGAAATTATGCATTTTTAATTGCATACATTGCTAGCAGCCCAGTTTAAAGGACATCACAGACATGAGCCAATTCCATCTGTCATCCCACAGGCAGCTCTACTGAAAGCACGTATATCCCTGAACACGGTCTTCTGATTGGGATTCTCCTATGAAACACTGTTGATTTAAGCAAGACACAGAAGGGCTGACTGGGAGCAATCACTTACCACTCAGAGGCAAAGTTCAAACATTTCACAAACTCTCCTAGCACCCACTTATGTGCAACACACTGTGTCATGAAAAAATGAGTACCACCACAGCTCCTCCCTCCATTTCCTTCCCTTCCCTTGCTGCCAATACAACGTACTTCAATCCCATCTTTCTGGAACACAACTATGCCCTGTGCATAACGCTGCTGACCCGCAACCCTATGTACTGACCAAAACGAAGAAGGAAGATTCAGCTCAAGCGTATTTCCAATTAAAAAGGCTGTTTCGCTATCGTTCAGCCCTTTCCCCACTGTACGTGTTATTTTAGAACAACATGTACTGTACTTTTTGTAGTGGCAAATTATATGGCACAAGAAGGTCAGCTAATGGCAGGAGCAGCAGCCTATGGTCTGCAAACCCTTGGTTAAATATTAAATTCTCTGTAATGTCAACAGTTTCTTATGCTCACATAACCCAGGATAAGACTAACTGTGGCCAAAACACTGATGAATCCTGAAAACTAAGCAAATCAAGGAGCCTGAGGATGTTTGTGACAACACAAAAGCATGCTTGACGTATGAGAGAGGAAATGTTCTCTTCAAGTGAACCACCATGCAAAACAAAAGTCTCCAGCTACCAGCTTGGCTACATTGAGTTTACACTACACCCTGTGGCAAACTTACCGCCGCAAGCTCCAATCGAGCACCTAATTCAGAAGTCTGCTGGGATTATGGCATTTGTCAAAACACATACTTTGTGCAGCAGCAGCTGAAAAGTTTTATTACGCGGATGTATTTAGTATTTCTTAGAAGTACTATTATCAGCTCCTAACAAAGTTATTTACGCTCACCGTACACTACACTCGCAAATCTTTCACTGAGGCTCTGGCATTTTCCCAGAACTGAATGAACGGTCGTGAACCATTTGCAAACGTCGGCCTCACAAGGGTATTTCCTCCATCTGCAGTGAAATGCCTGTGCTTTTCAGCTCCTGTTCCTATGACAAAAATCATTCTCCAATCACCAAACAGACAACGTATTTAACAACTAGCTACCAGCTCCTATGGCCAGTTGATAGGTGAGGAGAACAGGAAAATTCTCCAGCATCCCCATAAAAACTCAAAATCAACAAGTCAGAAATAACAAAACCTTATTACTGTTTTGATATGATGTACTGAAGTTAAAGAAGATAAAACAAGTTCTCATGCTGCTTCCTGGTAAAGGAAACACTCCCACTAAAATACACTTTTTTCTTTTCTTTTTTTTTTTTTTTTTTAAAAAGTGTTGCTGTTGTTTCAAATAAAAACCAAGACTACCAATACTGTACAGAAAATGTTTGCCTTCATCCACTTTCCAGAAATTTGTATGTATTCTATTTCTCCCCTTCTGATAGTTTCTGTAGTTAAACTTTATTTTCTTTAGCCAGGAGAATATGATTGCAATTTTAACAGGAAAAGCCAGAGCCATCTACAGTACCTCAACATTTGTCTGGTCCTTCATTGTCCATGCCCTGAACATCCTTTTAACAAAATACAACCTCCTATTTTCACTGCAACTAGTTTCCACTCTATTTAAGAGCATGCTGACAACCTATTATACTTGTTCAATACTCACTACTAAAGATAAATACCAGACAGGACTATCAGATCACAAAAATCTAATCCTCCTCAGGTCAAACAACAATAATTTCACTCATCCGGCCTGGGACTGGATTCCTTTATAGTTCTCCTAGAAATGCCCATGTTCAATAAGGGTCCCCCTGCAAAAGATTTGTTTGCCAAAATTTGCAAGGCAGATTTTAATCTACTTAATGTGTTTTGTGATAGCATGTAATTATTTTTAGAACAGAAGATGGAAATCAAATCTCTTACAAGGACATAGTCTATCTTCACAGTTAACTCGTAATTTACTTAAAGACCAAGATCAGGTTTATTTGAAGTGGACCTATTTTCCATAGAACTACACTGAATAGCATAAGTTGTATTCTTAGGCTTCTATTTTTTTTTAAATCAGATGAATCAATTTTTCCTTTATTTTTTACCCCAGGCATGTTTTGGGCTAATGTGTCTGTAGCTCGTCATTTCATTCACTCCTTCTGAACATCAGCACACGAACAACTTTTTCCTAAGTCACAGGGATTTTTCCAGGACTCTAAAATTAATAAAAATTAACATTAGGCTAGAGATTTCATCTGCTGTTCTTTCAAGATTCATGTGCAAATTACTCACGTTTAATAATTAATTTTAAAAAATTCTATCCCTAGTCAGCATTGCTCAACACCACTCCCGTACTACAAATGCTGTATTGTACCAGCATCAAAGAGGTGAGAAACAAGGCCAGAAATTTTCACTATCCGTAGCCCTTAGTCCACCTGTAGCATATACTGCAGAAATAGAGGACAGGTTTAAAAAAGATGCCAGCTTTTGATGACAGTAACTGATACAGAAAACCTAGGGATTTTAGAGTTTCTTTTAGTTTTCTCGAAAGACACAGCCCTCTCATTAGGTAAGGACAGAGTTTTCATATCTGTTATATGAAACATTCACCATTTCTAGGGATAACACTGACATGCCACCCTATAGGAGGAGGCAAAAGGGATGACTTCCAAGACAATCTCTTACTCTTCTGAAAATAAACTCAAATTAATGGATATTCCTATGAAAGATGAAAAACTTCTTAAAAGCTAAGTTTTCCTTTCTGTATTTCTTGTTACCTTGTTTGTTTTCTGAACTGTTTAAGCTTTAATACAATAACTGAAAACTTAAAATCACAAATGTGATTTTCACACATGATGATCACAAATGCCAACTATTTTGCAGACATGAAGACTCCTCTTGCCTGATAAAGAACGAGAACCAAAATTGTTGTAGTACTTTAGACAACACATCATGATGAAATAACAAGAATGAAAGAATTAAGTGCTAACTTCAGCATACTACCAGCTCCTTTTTTTAATATTATGAAGTGGACTAAGTGGAACAATTATGCAGATTTCAAACAAAAAGCGTCAAATGAGGAGTCTAAAGTTGATAGTAAGCTTCAGCACTTAATTACATAAAAGTCTTGTGATAATATGGCTTTAAATCCCTACATAATAGTAGGGGGAAATAGGCAGTTAACACCCATCAGCATTGAGCAGTGGAGAACTATAATTCACAAACACTTAATTTGGGATAAAACTTAAGATTTTATTATCTATGCATTGTCAACCCAGCAAAATAAATTAATATTTCTTGATTCAATTTTATTTTAAAAATAAGCTTATCTAAATATATATATTTTAAACAGGAATTACAGCAAGAAGCACAGTAAGAAGTATCATTGCATGCATACAGCAAAGTATTACTTCAAACACTTATTTTTTGAAGACAACACAGAAACTCTGAAAAGGGTAAATAATCAATCGGTCTATCCAACAAGGTACACTTACATCTTCATTCCAGTCTTCTGCTGTCCATTCTTCTATTGAGTTTTTCCATGCTCCTGTTGTAATTTGGGGAAGGAAAGAAAACAGTTACAAGCTAAAAGCACAATGTTGTATTTCAACCCTTCTCTTTCTAAGCAATCCTGTTTTCATTGTTAGTAGAACATCAAGGAGATGGTGGTTGGAGACATGGGAAGCTCTAGAAAATTGGTCTGCAGATTTAAAATTCTGGGAGGGTCGTCCCCCCCCCGCCCCCGCCTTTAATTTCTGATTTCAGGAATTTCTTAGCCACTACGGTACCAGACATACAGACATAATCTGCACAAACGCATGTCTGCAACCAGTGATTAATCGCAAACATTGGAAGAACTTCCTCCTATGTCCCCAACGACAGTGAGAGGTTACTCAACCCTCCCACGGGATCTCCCAGGTTCATGCACAAATTCATACAGACCCTGAACAAAACACAACCACAACACCTGCTCTGACATCCATAATTCTATTTTCAATATATTCAAATTCCAGACCCAAGCTATACGACTGGAGGCTCCTTTCCAATCTGTTAACACTCTCCTCAGGGCAGAACAACTCCAATCCCGTCCCCTTAGAGAGCAATTTTATTTTAAAACAATTATAATTCATATAATGGCAGCAGAAGAGTCAATAAGCTTCCACTGTAGCTGCAAAACACTTTTTCCCGTAACTTGTGGCAGAGTTTACGTGGCGAACACTGGAGCACAGCGCGCAGTCCACAGCATGCGACAATGGGAAAACTACAGGAAATGATCCCACAGATGCAAAAACCTGATGTCTTCCATAGAAAACAGCAGGCACAGACATGCAAGAGCAACAAATGGACTGAAGGCCTTGCCCACCAGCGTAAGCATAGGGAAGGTTATCCCAGCAAAAACCAGAGCCTTCATTTAAACTACATAACCATGAGCGAAGAAAACACAAGCAGTAGAAGTTCCTGCTACCATCACCTTTGATCAAGTACAAAAGCAAAAGAACTACTGCTTTAATCATCTCCTTTTACTTAACCAGGAACCCTCTGAGACACAGTCATCCAGAAAACAAGCCCCCTGAAGACAGCATCCAATCTAGTTCGTACTAATGCCATGACTACATTAGTGCATTCTTTTGTACACCTTCACAAAGCAGCGTCTTGGGCAGAGGAGGGTCAAATGGCACTAACCCAGTGAGGCAAACAGCCTACCATGAAGATACACACGCGGTGGGGAGAAGAGAGGGGGTTTATACCTTGGAATCCAAAATTATTTGGCAGGTCTTGAGCAAGGTAATATCCGCTCTGTGTTGGCTCTGTGGAGCAATATAGAGTTGCCTGAAACATCTCATGCTCACGTTACTAAACAGCCCCTAATCAGGAGGTTTTTACATAATGCAAAATATTGAGGCACTTGAAAAATAACTAATAATCATATCCGAGCACAGCAAAATTACTGCAATGCCTCAAATTTCTAGACTAATCCACACATTTCCACGGAAATTTTGGAAACGAGGAAAAGTCCAATGAACAGCAGTTTTTAGAGAAAAAGTTTATTTTCTTTCCCTTCTCCTGACCCGCACAGGGTCCCTTCCTTTGATATTTCTTCTTAAAAGAAATACATCCTAGTATTTGCCCTGCTTATATTTATCTCCCATCAGTCAGAGCAAGGCCTGCCTCTGTAGAAGACAAACCTTGTGCTAGTGCCAGAACTCTAACAACAGAGCTCAGAGGCTGCTAAAACAAACACAAAAAGAGCTCAGACAAATCAAGCCCAACTCTTGAGCATCCCCCACCCCCTTTGGGAGACCGAGCCTGTTCGGAATAATACTTGGGACATTTTCCCGACATTCAGTTTAAACATTTATCCGTTCCTTCTACTTATGAACATGGTACTGTGCATTTACTCTTTTTATACTGAGCTCAACCCTTCACCCTTTTACTAATTTACCCAAGCTGCTAAGTTTATTATTGTTGCTTATTAACACTCTACCTTCGCAACACAATCCTTCCAGCCTCAGTTACTTCACTGCTCTTCCCTGCATTAAATCCAGTTTGCTAACGCCTTCCTCCTATTGACGGGATTCTAAGTCTGATCTTGCCACAAGTGTATCAACTTCCTTCTAGTCCAAAATCCACCTTGGCATTATTGCAACTCCATATATCCTCTTCCCAACCTTTACCCCCCTGTCTTGCAAAGCACCACAATTTAAGAGTTCTCTGTTTTCCACTGAAACTATGCTTTGTGTTTTCAAGGATTCTCGTCATAGCAACTTCAAGCTAGATGGCTATCTGTGACTCTCCTGTTTCCTTTTGTAACAAGTTTTGTTTTAGAAAGTTATAAGGCCAATAAAAAGTATACTATATGTTTTTGGTAAGTCTTCAGCTATTTTCCTCCAATTCCTCACTTCCTGTCACACTATTTGATTTTTTTTCCTTTTTTTGAATAATCAGCCATAGATATTAGCCCCCAAATAATTTTATTTCATAGAATCATAGAATCATTA